CTCTCTCTCTCTCTCTCTCTCTCCTCTCCGATCACCAACACTCGCCCCCACTCTTTCTCCTACCACCCTGTCCAACCCCTTCTCTGTCGCTCTCTCTCTCTCTCTCTCTTTCTCTCTTTCTCTCTCGTTCACTCCGTTTCTGTCTCGCTTCGCCCACGCGACTCGCTCGCCTCTTCCTGCTCGATGGCTTCCTCGACATCTCGCTTCCGACAAAACGGCACACACGCACGTGGCGCCGCCGTTGTCAAGACGACTGCGCTGCACGGGATGCTCCTAACGTACACCCTATATCACCTTATGTCATTTACTTAGAGTTGATCCTTCCTGATCGACTTGTCGTCATCGCTTCGCCCGCGATAAACAATCCCGGTCAGGTTAAACGAGCCGGATGTATCCGTGGATCGATGTTCCTTGAGTAAGTTTGAGGAAGAATTCGTGTTACGTTGGCTCGAGGGACGTACCGTAAAGATGTGTATAATTTATAGTACAAGATCCCAGATGTTACGAATCCTGATCAGGATGATTCCTGTGATCCTTGAGGTGGACTTTCTCTTCCTGTGGTAAGTCGACGTTACTTGACGAAACAGCTACGCGGGACGTGTAGTTGATACGATAATTTGAAAATGAGGTGTCGAGGTTTTTTGAAAGATTTCCTTCACAATCTCTGTCACCTTCCTGATTTTCCTGAAGGAAACCTCCTTGTCGTTCTTTTGCTGAAGATTTTCTGAAAAATCTGGAGCAACGTTTTTCATTCGACAACGTATCGTCAACGTGATTGGTGTCGATTCGTGTTGAATTAAATTTCGTGGCTGCACGACAGAAGAACAGAGCAAGGGATGTGAATGGATGGCTGGAGTACAGCATCGATTCGCGCCGGGAAAAGCTAAACTTGCGTGTCGGGCTTGCGCTCTGGATGGCTAACGCAGCGTGGAAAGCTCGTGAAAAGCTCTTTCAATACGCCACGTGGTGTTCACGTCTCGATGATACTCGTTCTCTCGCGCGTGTCTCAAAATAAAGTTGCAAAAGTATGTAAGCCAGTAAACCAGTAAACTTGGTTTAATAATAAGTATGGACACTTTGTGCGGCACGAGAGAAATATAAGTTTCTTCTTGAGATAAAATCACTGACATTACACCAGAAGTTTGGTATTACTCTGGAAAGTTAAGATGAATATTGCATCTCTGAAACTTCTTGCACAATGAACTAGAAAATTATGCACTTTTTCTTTTATATTATGTAAGTTTGTATTTATATTGTGTAATTTTATATTCATTTCATAGGGTATAAGTTTTCGTTAAATAAATTAATCAGATAAATATATTCGCTCTAGATATAATAGGTAGTTTCAGGTCCTTTCACAATCAAACTACAAAACAAGTTTCTTTTTTGTCTATTATTATAGTAATAAAAACACAGTTTTCTTGATGTTTTTCTAAAGAAGAGAAAATACAATGAAATAAGAGTAGCTTTCGTTAAAAGCAATGCATAAACAATTTTCTAAATGTTGTTTTTTTCTCAAACAACACGAAGAACTCATGACTAAAAAAAAATCCAAAGATTGCCTAGATCTTTATCCTACGAAAGAGCTGGCAATGTCAAGTAGCGCACTCTAGACAGACAACAACGGAAGCGTTATAACGTTGGTCGGAGATAATATAAAGCTCGCAAGCTCAAAAGCTTTGTAAACTCTGTAAAATCAGTCGATAAGGTAGAAAGGTGGTGTATCTCTTCGTAGACACATTCGATTCAACGACGTGTACCTCGTTGACCTATAAACACCTTCTTCAAGAAACAACCGTCCACGAGAACAGAAAAAGAATGAGTAATCCCAGAAAATAAGTTACAAGTTGCC